ACCTGCTAATGTACCTAAAACTGCATGGTTAACACGGGGAGGAGGATGATAATACAGTATACGGAAAGCTGTACCCCGTTTCTCTGTGTATACAGTTTACTTCAGTCCTTGCCTATATTCAAGGTTAAACTACACTTGCTGGTTGGTCATTAAGCCTTAATAACATTTCCATGGCTGAAAGCTCAACGTTAAACCAAACATTATTCTAAATTCACTCTGCTAAACGATCGCAGGAAAGTTCTGTGCCTGAACAAATCGGGTGACTGACTTGATTTTCAATTAACCATTTGTACTTCTTTAAAACAGTGAGCGAGATATTGATTAGGAGAGAAATCCAGTTTTTATTGCATATTTCGACGTTTCAGCCGGATTAGAGCTGTGACTATCCCTCTCGCTGCCGTCCAGTCCAACAATGATATCAATTGCTTCCTATAAATAACTTTAGGATGATAATTCCTAAACACACTCCATGACAGCTTTTTTTTGCCAGTCTACAGGAAGGGAATATGGATCATAAACTAATCTATCAGACTATAGACTCATGTATACGTAAACAAACTATTTAACAAGTCCATCAATGCTGTAACTAGCAATTATATAGCAACCAATCTCTAAAAATTGTTGGGGGTGGGAGGGGCGAGGCGAATGTGTAGCGAAGGAAGAAAGAAATTGAAATTGAATGTGTAGCGGTGAGGAGGGATTGAGAAATGGGCAGGCGAGGCATTATGTGTGGTTGGGGTTTTACAAGGGGGTTGCCCGCGTACGCGCCCCATTATATCTCTTCAAGGAAAGTGAATCAACACATTTGAGGTGACCAGTTTTTTTATTTAATTTTTTTCCCTAAACAAATGCCCTTGATCTAGTCACCCGGAGACAGATACCCAACCTACCTGCTGTCAACTAATGTCGGGTCTAGTACAGTTGGATTCGTTCTCGACTCACAATCGGGAATCCCGGTTTCGATTCCCGATTGGGATTGAAATGATTAGACATTTCCTTTCATCTAATGTCTCTGTTCATCAAGTAGTAAAAAAATTACCCGGAAGTTAGAAAACTGTTGTGGGGTTGCATCCTGGAGAGGATCCGTAGTTCGATCTTGGGGTAGATGCCTGAAGTATATAAATTTACAACTTACAGGAAGCTGTAAGTTGCTGTAACTTACAAGAAGCAAGAGGACCTAACAGGGCAGACGATAAGATTATTTGGAATGACTGATTCACGAACAGAGGGGACACAGATGGAAACTAAAGTACGCAAATGAGCAAACACTAGACAGAGTGGTGTAACACCGTGTATTAAATACAACCTTTGGTGGAAATTAAATACAACCTTTGGTGTCCCTTCCCTCAAAAAAGTGAATAACCGTGGCCAAACGGTTAAACCACCGATTCTGCAGTAAACTTATTTGACCTTTTCTGGTCAATAATAGTCTACTTAAAATCGGGACTTACTCGGCGTGGATGATTGATAATTACTTACTCAGCGTGGATGAGCGTATCCTATTCGCGTAATCAGTCTAAATGTCGTCTACAATCAGGGCAAGGTAACTAGCCTTAGCGCCGCCCCTAATTTTTGTCGCAAAAATTCCCATTCACAAGCGCACTCGGCCAAGACAGAAAATTTTATATATAGACTTCGAGAACAGCCGTATATCATGTTTGGGAGACAAGACAGATAGCCTGTGCGGCAAGCCTGCCAGTTGATTTTGGACAAGAAGTTACTGGTATTCTTGAGAGCATTTGTTGTATTACTGTATATTCTGTTTGTTCATTTTGTTTTTCAATATATTTCCTGCATGTCTAATTTTGTGATGATTTTTCTGCCTATGCATATTTATCGTGTTCCCAAGACCTTACTCGTTAATTCAATAATTCCTTGACAATTCAGCGGTCCTATGATGAATTTTAGCAGCATTCGTGGTTTCGCGTTAATCAGTCACACGATCAAATTTTTCTTCCGATCTCAACATTTTCGGCTATCACTTCCTTAGCCGTTCTGTCGCGTAAGACAAAGTAAATATTTTGAAACGTGTGGGAAGTGCTTACAACCACCACTTTGGGCGTATAAATTGTGTTGTGTTGAATAGGTTAGACTCAATGCTTTGATCAATTTCTTGATTAACCCCCCCCCCAAGTGCACCATATGCCAGCATTCACTCGCTATATGACCGGGAAGAAGTACATGAAAATTTGTAGAATCTTCCTCACACAATAACAAGTCTACACCTTCTGAAAACAAGGGCAAACTGATCAAAGTTTGTATAGATAAGAGAACCTGGTGTTATGGTATCCTAGTGCACATTAAACTCTTCTCGCAGGCCTAGTCATCAATTGCCGTATTTAGGACTTCTAGACCGTGTATACATATGCTAGAATGTATGAACATAGGTAGACGAGTTTAGGGGCATTTTCTGACTAAGGGAAATACGGAATCGGGAGTCCTAGGTCCATCGCGACATTTATAATAATATAATAATTTATTTAGGAACAGTACATACATAGTTGCAGCGTTACAGTACAAACATTGTTAGATTTAA